CTTGCAGGTACAGGCAGTCATATATATTTAATGCTTGAACATTTGAAATCTGAAAACACCATGTTCTAATTGGAATTTTTAATTGTGTGTTTTCTTCCACATAGTCGTTGCCCTTTCCCCCTGTATCAGGCAAGCAGTAAATAGCTGGGCAGCAGCCGGTGCAATTGCCTTGTTCCTCCTCTCTCTGAGATGCTCAACTTCCAGGATTCTCTTACTGCCCACCTCCACATTTATCCTGTGTGAGATGAATGTGGATCTCTCTGCCTGGGTTTTCTCATTTTGGGATAAACTTGGAGGAGACAGTATTAATTGCAATGCTTTGAACACACAGAGTAAAAGGCTGGATATAAATCTAAATACAAATAAGAATAATTTACAAGCCTTGTAAAGGTAGAAGGGACTGGTCCCTTCGAAGATAAATTTATGCTACATTTTGTCTCTAATTTGAGACAAAATTTTACATTTTGTCTCTAAGGTAATTAACACAAGCTTTTCCTAGCTGATTATACATTTGACCTATTTCTTTCTTGTGCTGTTTAAGAAATTGTTGTTAAGATGTGCATAATCTGGATTTGCTAAAATTCATTTCTAGCTTACTTCATGATGTCTCTTGCAAAGTTTCATGATGTAATTTTTTTGCTGGTTGTGAACAGTGCTCGCCTTGCAGTGGAAAGTGGAAAAAAGACTGAATCCTGCAAGAAAATAAACCCTCATTAGGTAGTCCAAAGGAATTATTAGCTAACATAAATATCACTGAAGCACAGTCTAAAGTACAAAAAGGGTAGGCTTTTCCTTACCCATACTTGCATCATGATATTGCTTCTTTCCAACTCTTTGTTTTCTAATCCCTTAAGTAGAGTATCTGCTTAGGGAAAAGCAAAAACACACTTATTTTATAATATTTATTGCCAAATACTCATCAGTTATTTCCAGATCTTTGGACCCTAGGTCAGAACAGTCAAAAGATGACTCAAAAGTTTACCTTTGACTGCGTAGCAGGAATACTCCCTGTATGTTTCTCCTGTATTTCTACAAATTAAAGAACTAGATAAATTTAATTCTTTTTAAAAATACAGGGTAACATTCAGGAACACGCCAAGCTGATGAAGCTGCTCTGTGTTTAGGAACATAAGAGTTATGTACCCATTCCATAATAAAGGGAAATCGGATAGATCAGAGGACACCTTTAATGGAGTAGTTTCTTGAGAAAGTATCAATGTCTGGCAGCTCTAGCAATCAGAGAAATCTATGTATGCAATATTCAGATGATTTCCCTTGTAACTAAATTCAAGAGCCTTTCTGGGTGATAATTTCTTTCTTGGCCCCCTTAGCAGCATTCTTTGCTAGTCCTGAACCTGGTGAAAAGCATATTATATTGTTCAACATAACAGATGTGGAGATAAACTTATTGCAAGAGTAAATTGGAAGGTTACTCTGGGGCAATGTTTGCTTTAATGAAGGAGTATGTAGCTTCCAAAATTAATTAGGAATGAAAGTTAACTTGTTCGAAGTGTTCACAAGGTTTTCAAAGGGCTAGATGACACTCACATTATATCCTCCCCAGTTGATTTTGAGATGTAGAAGTTTCCTCCAGCGTTCTCAGCCTCCACTCTTTTGTCAGTGTTCCTGCACAAGCTCCTTCTCATTAATTCTGCATGTGTGGTTAGAGTAGTCTTTCAGATGACAATGACAACATGAAAAGGACCCAAGGAACAGAAGTAAAGGGCATGCGGAGGTGGCATGGAGCTTTCACCTCCAAGTCTCATGGGTCCAAATATAAACCAGAATCATATTCCTGCAGACTTAATCCTAAAACTGTAAGATTTTGGTCCACATGTATAATGTTGAACCATGCCTGGATACATTATGGCCACTCTGGTTGTATAATATGTCCCATGGGAATTTGCAATGGGTCCCATGGTAATCTCTTCTCCTTGCTATTCTGTTTGGGACTCAAAAAGGGAGGAGTCCTAAGCCTGGCAAATGTGTAGTTAGCTGGCAGCCTTCAATTTAGTGATTCATAAATTTTGCAGCTTGGGCCAAACTGTGAACAATGCATTTTTAATCTAGCTGTTCTTCAAAATATCCACAAGGACAAACCTTACAGAACCATTGACATCTGAGGAAATGGTTTACTTAAAACAAGGACCAAGATAATAAAAGCTGTCAGAATTGTCCCTGGCAAAACTTGCTAAGTCATTAAAAGCAGAAATGCAACTGGTACTTTGTGCTGCAATTTAAAAGTTAATTTACTGCTTGCTCTGCTTTAGATGACAGCCTATCTTTGTAGACAGAGAAGAAAGTGTATTTATATTCTGGATGCTAAGATAATCCTTTCATCTGAATTGATATGTACACACATAATAATTATGAGTTGACTTTCAAGAGTAGTATTTGTTATATTTGTGCTACCAATATAAAGTAGTTTTGCTTCTGTCAGCCCATACATTCTTAAAGTAAGTACAGCCAATATATACATGATAGGGGTAGTGATCCAGATCTATGCCATGCTCATCCATATATGGATTAAATCTGGTAATTGGAGTTTATACTTGTGCAAGGACATCAAGTCTGTAGGGTAGACCAGTGTCATTGGTCCCATGTTGCTAAGACTGAGAGAAAGAATGCTGTCTGAGCTGAGGACTGAGGCAGGACTAACAATTTTATAACTCAGAACAGTGACAGCTCAGAAGTAAGTCACTTAGAAGAGTTCAGTAAGTAGTTGTTCCAGGTGTTGCGGCTATATTTGGATTCTCATAGCTACCATCGTATCAATCTAAGCATAGGGGAAAATGTCAGTTTGTAGAAAAATGTAAATAGCTTCATTGTGCCTTGCAGAAGAATAATTTTGCACTATTGATTGTGCCTAGGATAATCAAATTCTGTGGTATACTTGTGTTTTTCTGTTTGTGCACTAGTATCTTCTTTGCCTAGCATCCTTAACTACAGTCTCTTTGTACCTTTTAGGTGAGATCCATTTGTTCTTTGTGTTGCTTCAACTACAAATCAATACAGGAGTGATTGAAAGTAGACGAATTGTAAATTGTTTATTTCTTTTGTTTTATTTTCCCACTGCTCACTTCTAAAAACAATATTTGAAAAATATTTGAGATACTTTCCTGTGTTGTTTTTCAACAATAAATCTAATTATATTTTCATTATTTCACAACAGCAAGTATGCAAGCAAGCGAGACAGAATCAGTGAATACTGAAAATGTGGGTGGTGAAGGAGAAACCACATGCTGTGGAAATTTGTGGTGAGTATAGGATGGAACTGTTGAAAGTTTTAGCCCAACAATTAATGAGCAATGGGCTAGACCATGTTTTCTCAACCAAGGTTCACTTGTAGTTGTTTGTAAGTCTTAACATATCCAATTATGTTAATAATGGCTCTGCTTTATTCATTACAAATTCTGAGAAAGAGTTCTCTGAAACACAATTTTTTTTAAGAAAGGGGTTAAGCATATCATATAATACATCAGACTGGAGTTTTTGAAGGCTAGCATTTGTATGCTATTTAATTTATATATAACAATTTGTAGGGAGTGCTAGCAGATTGAAATTGCAGAGAAATATGAATATTATTACCATGAATTGGCACCTATTGTTTAGACCTAGTCTAAATTCATGCTTGCAATAAGCTCCTAATAAGTACATTACAACTCTGCAATTACGGTAGGTTGGCAAGGTTGCAAGATTTAAACTTGTGAAGTCCATGTTAAAATCCCCATTCAAAATTCCCACTCAGCTTTCTAATCCACTGGACAGTGTTGGTAAAATACTCTTTCCTGGCCTATCTTGTAGGCTTATTGTGAAGAAGAAAATCTGTTCCATTTTTTTCTTTTCTTTTCTTTTTTGAAGGAGTGCTGGATTAGAATTATAACGTTATTTTGTATCCCAGTAGTTTGATTAAAATCTGTTTCTAGACTGTTGGGTAAGAGCTTCAAGGAAAATGTGCATTCATTATTTCAAAATGAGATTAATTGCTTTGTATGTAAAACATGGTTAATTATGATGTCGGTTTAGTAAAAGCAATAAACAAGGTAATTGTTCTACAGTTTATGCTAGTTGAATATATCTAGATCTAGCAGACATCTAACATTTAAATGATTCCAGTACAGGTTTCAAGGTGAAATGAGGTGTGTACATTCTTGTTTTATATTTTCTTTAAAATGTGTTTTCCTTTTCTTTTAGTCAAATTATCTCAAAATCCAAGTTCAGGTCAGTATTCTTTCCCTCTCACTCTCTTGCTATATATCATAATTCTGTGCTGATTATCTATGGATATTATGGGTGAATATGACTGATTTTTAACATTGTGTTAGTAAATATAGAAGGAATATATGCTTCATCACATCCTACTGTTTCCAACAACAGTTACTTTACATTGTTTTTGTTCAAATAGCTATACAGTATGCTTTTTTCTTTTTAAAGAAAGACAGAACTACAAAATAACTATTGCACACAACCCTCTTTTCTGGGGAAAAAAAAAGGAGTGAATGAAGAAGAGTAATTAATTGTTTTCTTGCTCACTGATTTTCTACTCTAAATTAATTTTTCCAGTTTTGCTCATCACATGATTGAAAATATGACTTTGTGAAGACATCTGTGCATTTGAAATTCCTCAAGGGGAAAAAAGCCACAAAGCAGAGAGATAGCAGAGCAATTTGCAGAGGAATTGGCATACAGGAAAAGGATTATACATCTTCAACTTCTCTGCCTGTTCTTGTCAGTGTTGCTTTTCATGAAAAAAGAGCTCAAGCACTTTATTGTTACATCAGATTACATTTAAGGTGTAGCTTGGATCAAAGCCATTAGCCAACAGAAAATGAGGATTTCCTCTGGGCAACAAGGCAAAGCATCATCTAGGGGTGATATCCAGAGGAGACAGGAACTGGAGAACCTCAATTCCATGCCCTAATTGCATAAGTGATTAACAATATCCTCTTAAGATGCCAACATAAGCCCTAATTTGAAAGTGCTGTTCCGATTATTTCATTGACAGTGTCAATGGTAGAAGACAATATATGTGACTCACTGAAATGCTGCTGTTCTGTGTTTCAGTTTTGGGATGGCAGATGATTAATATCATGATGTGTATTATACGTCTTAAAGAGCAAGAACTCTTACTGATTAGCTTACTCAACTGCACACTGTTCATAAAAGCATTCTATCAAGAGATTATCAAGAAAATAATCACATTGGTTTGGAGGAGGGAATTCTGATTGTTTCCTGATCCATGAAAGCCAGTTTTTTAGTTTAGATATATTTACTGTGGAATCTGATATGATGACTGTAATGAGTTATTTTTTTGAGCCTGGTTTATCTTTTTTATCATACTATGACTTCAGTCCTCGGCTGCTTAGTGGACAATCTTAAGGATTGCTTAATTCTATTACTTTTCCTTTAGGGTATTTCCAGAGAGTTGTTTATATCAGAATGTTCCATGTCTTATGTGCAAAAGGATAGATAAAAAAACAAGGGGCTTGCAGTAGTGCAAAATGTAATATATCCTCATTAATTTCATGGGCAGGGAATTTCCTTTCCAAAATATTTTCTCTCTCAAACTAGCAAACTACAAATACTCAAACAATCTGCTGGTTCATCGGCTGACAAAGAGAAAGGAAAAGAGTTGGGAGTTGGAAAGAAAACTTTGATTTATCTAGAAATACTAGAAGTTGAGTGAACTCTGCCATCTTGCCTTAGCACTATGTTACGAGGAAAAAAGCAATAAAATGCCTGCAGGACATATCTTCATATTTATGTGGCAAAAAATTATATTGGTGTATCAACCAATGATCCTTGTGAAAAACTGAAGATAAAAAGAATGACGTATTTTTTAAATGAAGTGTCCTTTCCTGATTTATAACTGCGGTTCCTCTTTTGATGCTCTATATTATCAGTTTCCTTTGAATCCCTGGCTTGTAGTTTTTCTGCCATTGTTTCCAAATGTAATTTGGAAGTTGGTTTTAAAATCTTGCTGAACAGTGATTCTTCTTTTCAGAAATAAGGATCTAATCTCTGTAGGCACTGATTGACATAGAAACCTAACATGCAGAAGATTTTTATCCAGAACTCATGTTTTAATGGGAATGAGTATGTTTTTAAACATTCTTCATGAAAAATCCTTGAATGAAAGCCTTGCTGGACATCTTCATTTTTTCTTTTCAACCAAAAGATAACCTGCTGAATGTTCTGACATGTTTCAGAGTTCAGCCTTTTCTCTCAACTTATATACAAAACAATTTAAATTGCTAAAATAATGTTTTATGAAGACAATTGTGTATGGCAGTTGATAAGTGGATTTAATTCTACTGTTTTTTATAAATGCAAATCAAACATTTTATACGTAATTGCAAAGAGGTAGCTTTGCAATAATGTGTCAAAAATATGAGCCAAATATTTTGATTTTTTAAAAAAATGCATTCAAGTAGTGTTTTCTGTTTTCTGTTTTATTAATGAACTTTACTTCATTAATTAGTAGTTATTTTCTCCTTTTCTTTGGGCAAATATTTACAAGCACAATAAAACATCAGTCATATTCTCAATGCTTCTTGCTTTGTTTCTTAACTTTGTCTTTATTCACATTAAAACCTGAAAATGTTAAAGCAAGCACTAGTATGCTTTTCTAACACACATACGTACATACAATATACACTTATATACATATAGTTCTTTTGTGAAAGATTTCCAAAATTATCTCTAGCTTTTTTTTACTGCTTCTGTTTTATATCCTGATGCATTCATTACTCTGTCCATCTTAATCTTTAAAACTTTAAAATTCAGACTGTCAATATTACTTTAACTGGGCTTTGGATTTGTCCTGGTAGGTACTGTGATTTTCCTCCCTGGACTCAGAAATGAATACATTGATAACAGAAGTGGTTAAACTATGGCTACAGCTACACTGATGGCTAGACACATTTCACCTTCGGTTGAGGCAGAGATATTTCAAGTAGCCAACCAAGTGTCCTTCTGATATTTTTGACTACAGCTCCTACAAGCCCCAGCCAGTATGGTCAGTGGCCTGTGATTATGAGACTTGTAATCCTAACTATCTGAAGACCACAAAGTTGTTTACCTCTGGATACAGTCACAAGATGTATTATTTTCTGGATGTAAGCAACAGATCTCTCCTTATATCTGATGCTCAGTCTGAAACTTGATCAGTTCCCTGTGGACTTTCAATCTTGACCGATTTCTGAGTATCGTGCTTAATTCAAGGCCCTCCATGGTTTTGTTCATGGTCACAGTACCTCATGTGCTTGATTGCCTAAACTGTTGCTCTTATACCTGTTTGTTTCACTCATGGCCTTAGCACATAATGGGGGTGTTTTGTTTTGCTCCAAGAGTTATTCCCACACAATTTAAAGCAAGTATTCTTCCAGAGAGAAAGAGGTGCTTTATGTTTGGATAAGGGTAGCAGTAAATGGAGACATTTTTCACCTTGCTGTTTGTACAATTTGTGCAAAAATGTTGGGTGGCCCAACAGTCTACCATTCTTTCTGTGATTCATCATTTGTTTTTCCTCTCACCCCCTGATTGCTGAAGATGCAGCTGCCCTTCAAGAGAGGATTAGGCGTCTTGCTTTCCAAGTCAGTGGCCTTGTGTCCATTCTTTGAGGTAGGCCAGCTCTAGGAACAGCACAGCAGGGATTCCACAAATGCTCTTTATTGCTGAACCTTGACAGCCTGTTAGAGTTTCGCTCTGCTCCATCTTCAAGGTGGGGCTAGTTTGAGTTTCTTTCTCATGCTTTCCTCTTTCTCAGGACTGAGTAATCTTTTCTGAAAGTCCCCTTAATGGTTTACACATTCCTTCTCCATCCCCAAGGCCAGGTCTACTTTCCTTTACACCTTAGCTACCAGTGTAACTGTCATGGCTGCTTTCTTCTTAATATCATGGAAGCTAAAGGAATCTATTCCTGCTATTCCAACTTATCTCTTCTGCTTCCGGGTCCCTAGGGGGAGATACATTCACAAAATTTTCTATTACCAATATTCTGGTGTCCAGATTGGTGTGAACAATTTAATCCCCTTCTAGGTAAATTTGACTGCTTAGTACACTGCAGCTGCGCTAGGTCAACAGTCTCTGACGTTGTTATGTTTTGCTGCTACTTGTTTAACTTGGAATATGTATGGCTGTAGGATATCCTTATCATAGTAAAGCATGATAAAGGCCATATTCACTCTGTTGCCTTTCAGCAAGGAGAGATGGAACATTAAGCCTATCTTTAGGTCTGCTTACAGTACTGGGCTACTCACATGGCCAGAAATAACCTTAGACAGTTTTTCTGGTTATTTGAACCATTTTCTACTCCCCAAATCTAGAAATACTCACGTAACAAAAAGTGTGTTTGCACTTTGGAAATGGCTGTTCCTAAAGAGAAAGAAATCCTATCTAAGGTTCAGCCTAATTCTACATTGGTTTTCATGGTCACAGTACCACATTTGCTGGCATGGGGTGGGGTCATTCTCTGTAGCAACAAACACTTGGTAGAATGGAGATTAAGTGGGCCTCTCCTGGGAGGGCTTCTGCCAGAAATTTAAAAGCACAAATTTCCCTTGATTTCATCAGCTCCCTGAATGATTATTTTTAAATCCTTGGTTATATTATTAATTTTCCTGTGTTTCTTCTATGTTGTATTGCATTTATTATAATTTTTGCAAATCACTTTGATATTTTAAATTGCAAAATGATATAAAATGCTATAAATAAATGAAATTAATATAAAGCTTGATACCTTACTGGTGCTATCCAAGTCTCACAATGTCTGGACTGGCTGTCTTGTATCAATGTATATGTAGCTGATTACAAAACAAATGTTTATACATTGAAAATTTCATAAAACTTCATTTTTTAAAAACTATGCTCTAGGGAGTTAAAATGTCAGAGGAGCAGGTAAAATCTGTAAGAAAACAGTATGAAAAGTTTAGATCATTTGACAGTGTCAATTGGGCATTTCTTCCTTAGTAAAACCAAGCATGAATCGGGTAATAAATGTAACCAAACTAATTTGAAATTCATTCTCATTTGCATAATTTTTAGGAGAAAAAAATAAATACCAGCACATGTATACACACACAAATACAGTATTGACTCCTATCCAAAAACATCTCTGTGGGATAGTGGAATCCATCCCTACTGTGGCTTATGGAGGATCCCAAATATACAGATGACACTGTTTTTTGTTGAGGATGTGGGAAAGAAGTATTTAAAAAAAAAAAAGTTCTCCCAACATCTTATGGAACTGTCACAATAAGGAGTGCAAAATCTGCCCTGTGTGGATTGGGCAACTTTGCTCTTGGATTATTTCAATAAGCTTTATGTAAATTATCTTTGAAGACAGTTTAGAAATTTCCTGAATGAAACTGCCAGATTGTGTATTAGATAGGACATGTCAACATATCTAACTGCAATAATCTTATAATCTGCATTAGCTATCCAGTCATTTTTGGAGACAGTTCACAGTTCATTTCTGTCTTTATCCAATGTAAGATCAGAGAGTTTAAAGTTTGCTTACTAGGTCTCTGCCTACATTCAAAGGGGGCACTTAAAGCATGTTGCCAGAAGCAAAGCATTGCCCTTGGGCATCAAAGCAGCCATGTCCACAAGAAGACTTGTACAGCTGCCTCAGAGGTTGTCATTAGTTACCTGTGTGTCCATGTGCATTCATGGACAGCACTTTCTATGGGACTACCAGCCAAGCAAAGTGGCTGACATCCACATGAGTACACAGACAGCCAGGAGCAGTCTTTGCAGCCTTTGGGTAACCCTTACAGCTGCTGCTGCCGCTTTGACACTTAAAGAAGAGGATTTTTCGGTCCTGCCGGTCTGCTTTGCAAAGTACTCGTTTAAAATGCTTTACATAGTCATACTTCCTATAGCTGTAGAAATCCAGCCAAATCCCGGTCTTGACATGTATTAAGAACTTGCTGATCCTCCTCACACACAAGCCTTCCTTTTCCATCATCTTAGTTACGGCTACTGGGCATAAGAATAGGTGTCTTGATAGCACCAAAATAGTGGGCTTATGTTGAAAAGTTAGGACTCATTTTTCTAATTTTATTCTGTAGTGTAATGCTTCTGTATTATAATGCTGTCATTTTAGCCGACGCTGGCGTCGATGGAACCGTTTCAATCGAAGACGATGCAGAGCTGCTGTAAAATCTGTTTCCTTTTATTGGTTAGTCATTGTACTGGTCTTCCTAAACACATTAACTATCTCGTCTGAGCATTATAATCAGCCTGACTGGCTAACACAAATACAAGGTAAAATGAAATATTTTCTTGTTTCTTATCATAATCAATGGAAAATGCTTGTAGTTTTCTTTTTCTATATCTATATAGCACTCAGTCTATGTTGTTCAAGCTTTGAAAATGTTATGATAAAAGCCAGTGAGATGGCATGAGCCAGTTTGGTGTAGTGGGTAAGGTGCTGGACTGGAAACTGGGAGACTGTGAGTTTTAGTCCTACCTTAGGCATGAAAACCGTCTGGGTAACTTTGGGCCAGTCTCTCTCTCTCAGCCTAACCCACCTCACAGGGTTTTTGTTGTGGGAAAATAGGGGGTGGGAGCATTATATAAGCCATCTTGAGTTGTAAAAAAATAAAGGTGGGATATAAATCTCATGATGATGATGATAATGAACAAACGTATTAGTATTAATGTAGTAATGAGGAGATGTGTATTATTTTGTGGTGGGGAGCAAAAAGCCAAAGGAGGCATGGCAGTGATGGCCTCCTCCAGAGGTGGTAGGACAGCCATCATTTTTATTATTAGTAATGTGTATTAAGCCAATTTCTCATTGAAATCCTGAGGAAATTATACCATAGCAATTTTGTGTGTGTGTGTTTGCCAGATTTCATTAGCACAATTTTGGAGGCCCTTTTGGGTTGGGGGGAGGGGGGATGCAAAAATCTACATATAGGCTGTATGTTGCCCACTTCTACAGCAGAACATAGTCAAGTTCTACTGAGCATTTATTGTAGATTAGTGTCTATTTAACCATAGTCTAATGCAGGAGTAGGCCAACTTTTTTCCGTAAAGGGCCAGATCCCGCCTCTTCTCTGCCTCTGTGGCTCAGGGGTGCTGCAGCTGCTGGACGGTGCTAGCCCGCCAGCAAGGAGGCTGCTGATAGGCTGCGGCCACCACCCGGGGCGCCTCAGCCACAGCCACACCCTTTGCCTCAGGAGCTCTGCTGAGGCTCGGGCCTGGTGATCTGCTGCCCACCCATTCTTAGCTTGCGGGCTGTGCAAAAACAGGTCATGTGGCAGATGTGGCCCATGGGCCATAGTTTGCTGACCCCTGGTCTAATGGATGACATCTCTTATGAGCGGCAAAAAGATTTATCTGGGTCTAGTACAGTACTTGTGCTGAGTCAGGGTTTGTAGCAGGAGAAATATTTTCTCATATTTATGAGCCAGATTCCAGTTTATAAGGTGGAGTTCCAGTTAACTTGCAGAGCTCTTCTTTATGAGCTGTCCTGTTTGGTTCTGTCCCTTGGCTATATTTAGATGGTCGGTGCCCCAATAGACTCTAATTGTAGGCGATAACAAGGCAAACCTTGTACATACTGATATCTAATCTTTTGATTTTTAAAATCATGTGCATATTAAAGGTTAATGTTCAATACATTGTAAGAAGAAAATTACCTTTACAATATAATGGCCAGAATGCCTCTATTATTAATTCATGTGTTGGTTGGTATAGACTACATCATCTTAATTTGGGATTTTTGTCTAATGAGGGGAAAACAGAAACAAAGTCACTGGTCATTTTTGATACAAGACGTGACACTGAACCTGAAACTCATCAATTGATTTAATTTCTTGAATATTTTTCCCCCAGATATTGCAAACAAAGTCCTTCTGGCTTTATTCACCTGCGAAATGTTAGTAAAAATGTACAGTCTTGGACTGCAGTCTTACTTTGTGTCCCTTTTTAATCGTTTTGACTGCTTTGTGGTCTGTGGCGGCATTGTTGAAACCATCCTGGTAGAGCTGGAAATTATGTCCCCCCTCGGAATTTCAGTGTTCCGCTGTGTTCGTCTCCTCCGTATTTTTAAAGTAACCAGGTAAGAGAAACTTGTTCTTCCTTTATTTGGTGCTGAGTTTTACTGACCCTTGTATGACCCGCTGCTCTTTTGTAATATTTCATCATGCACTGTTCTTTTACGGTTTTTTTTTTTCTGTTAACACACACATTTTAATTTGTAGGCACTGGACATCCCTGAGCAACTTGGTAGCATCCTTGTTAAACTCAATGAAGTCCATTGCTTCACTGTTGCTTCTGCTTTTCCTCTTCATCATAATCTTCTCATTGCTTGGAATGCAGCTGTTTGGAGGCAAATTTAATTTTGATGAAACTCAAACAAAACGGAGCACCTTCGATAATTTCCCACAAGCCCTTTTAACTGTATTCCAGGTAACTTTATTCACCCACTATAAAACATTTTTTTAAAAAATCTGTGAACAACAACACTGTCTAAGTAATCCTGTCTCCTAAAATAAAAATAAAAATCACTATCACAACGATTATTCCTTCTGTTTATGTTAAATAGCATTCTGCTCATTAAAAGTCAATCTTTGGTAATTTTTGCATCATTTTGTATCATTTGTTCATATCATGTATTCAATCTCTCTATGCAGCATAGCTTTTATGTTAACATCATTAATATTAAGTTGTCTTTGTTCATCCAAATACAGCTAACAAAAAAGTTATTGCTTGTAAAATTCTTCTGTTATGGTTAATTGCTTTTTGCAACTGTTTATATTCTGCACATTCTAAATCTGTATCTTGGTTAAGTTACCCCTATTTATGATCCAGAGCTTGAGGTCAAAAATTCATTTCTTCATATGCAACAGGTCTGCTTTGTTTCTTTGCTTTGAGTAAAATCTAGGGCTGTCCATTTTTGCCTACAGTGTCCACTCACTTCTTGTTTTCTCCCCTAAATTCATATATATGTCAGTATTCTGATTGAGAACCTGTGTAGTATTATAGATAAGGAATTGGACCTGGAGAGTTTAAGCCCCTGTTTGATCACAAAGTTTACTGGGTGTCTTCAGGCCAATGATTCTCAGTGTAACCTACCTCAAAGGATTGTCACTGCATAGATAAAATTAGTGGAAACTCCTATATTTATTGTGTGAGCTTCCACAGACAAAGCAAGCCATAAAGGGGAGAAAAATAAATACTATGAATTATTGGAGAAAACAAGTAAAAATTATCACACTGAATGTAATCTGAACATTTGAAAACAACATCATGTTAACTTTCCTAAAACTCTTGAAGGACCAGTGTTTTAGAATTCAGGATCCTGAACTCATTTTGTAGGCTACTTCTTAGAAATACCATTCAGAAGTTTTTAATGTGCTCAGTTTAATGAGAACATCCAGAGTTTTATTTAATGGACTCAGTTATAGTGGCGATGAGTGCATTTTTGGGAAACCTGAAAGAACAAGTTAGGGATGGATTGTCATAGAGAAAATCTATCTATGTGGTCGCTAGAAATTGAAAACAATTTGATGGCACATAATCAATTTGATGTGCGATTATTTTTATCCAAGTTTAAAGGCAAATTGCTTGCCAAGAGCAATTGTTTTGGGATGTAATGATAAACTGAGGCTCTCACATTTCAGCTCTTCACAATGAGAGGAGTAGAAACTTCGTCATTGTATTTGGCCAGATATACAATTATTAGTCTTGTTGTTGGAGGAAGATAACTACAAACTTCAGTTTAATTAACCAACTTGCTTGAAGAAACAATAGTTAAAATCAGCCACAGTTTATGGTTCAATTTGACTTTGGCAAGGCATTGCCTAATACAACCCAATGCTGCACAGTGAAAAACTTTAAAGATAATGACCAACATTCTGAATTGGTCCCAGAAGCATATTGATAACCAGTGCACTAACTTCAAAATAGGTATGATTCTATACTGGCAGGATAGCCTCCGTAGCAGTCTTGCTTTGGCATTGTGTGTTAGTTGCAGCTTCTAGGTTGTCTCCAAAAGCAAACCCATATAGAGCACATAACAGTAATCTAATCAGGTGGTAATCAGGGTGTAAATGTTGCCAAGCCTTCCTGTCATGTTTGTGTCATAGTTGGCATACCAGCCAGAACTGCGAAAAGGCCCCCTTTTATATGTCTGCTTTCTTCCTCACAACACACATAGTACTCCCTCCACCATTTTTATCACAGCAACTCTGTGGGGTAGGCTACACTGAGACTGGGACTGGCCCAAAATGATCTAGTAAGCTTCCATGGCAGAGAGTGTAGTTGAATGTGGGTCTTCCTGGTCCTAGTTCAATACCCTTAACCCACCACACTAGGTCTCTTGGCCCAGGTTGGTTTTGAGTGATCTTATACAAGGAAAATGACAAAATCTTTCAAGATTTCAAAGTCTCACCACAAATACAGATATCACATGAAACATCTATTAGCAAATAAACCCAACTTCCAGGCTTGCTGTAAAAATTGTTGAGATAATTACACAGGGAGTTTTAAAGGCTTAAGATTTGTTATGTTGGGTTTCTACTTTAGGTTGGATTTACTTTGGATCAATTTCTGTAACTACCTACTTTGCTATTTCAAAATGTAGATTAGGAATTATATGAGCTGAAGGTCCCCATGTCTGAATGGCACCCAATTTGGAAAAGACTGCACTAAATAAATGTTAAAAATGCCAGGCCAATGTGTCCCATTTGTACATGCAAGTGAATATATGCATCTGTTGGAATTCATCTTGATAGGAAATACAATGTCATAAAAATAGTCCCAAATGTCCACATTTTAAAAAATGTTTTTTTCTACAATATATAGACAAAGCTATGCCAAAAGAGCCTTGGTTCAATAAAATTTAGTAAATTAAACCTCCATTTCTAGGATACCTGAATTATAAATAATAATCATTTCAGAGTTTCAGATATTCCTAAGGCATTGGGCCCAAATTATAAAGTCAAAAAAAATGTTTTAAATTAATAATATATGACCATTCAGAAGTTTTAAGCAATCAAATTCTTTTTATAAGACATAAAAGATGAATTAATAATAAGATGTGCTTTACCAGCAATTTTCAGGTTGGGATTATCCCTTAGTGTCAATTTCTTTATATATGGATATAGATATAAATATAATTTTTATTTAAAAAGTTTTTCCACAGAGTAAAAACAATACAAATTTTAAGTTAAAGATAAGCCGTAGTATCAACTTCTCATGAAAATGATGACTGAAATTAATTTTTCTTTCCAACACATGATATGTTTGCAGTCTTTAATATATGGAAAAAAACAACCAATTTATAAGCAAACATGACCCAAATCCTAGTCAAGATATCAACTGGGTCAAATAATAATTTTGTAATGATTTTATTGTGGTTTTTGAGGTAAATCACTTAAAGTCTACAAAGAAAAAGAAGTCAAAATTTAAGACCGAAGGTGAAAAATTGAAATTCTCATATGAGAGTTGTAATATATAGCAATATATAGCAATCTTAGAGTGCCAATCATTTTAATACCTATTCTTCCTCATGAACTCAGTGGAATGTTTATATATTGCTATCAGTATCAATCTGAGATAAACCATTTGAAATATTTACCTTCATTAACAAAGTCTTCTTTTTGCGGGGGGGAGTATTCTGGGGTATTAAAGGAATTCAAACAAAGGTTTACCTTAGTTTATAGGAGCATAAAATAATGCATTCAAGAATAAAGAGTGTCATCAATCTTATAACTTAATTAAAATGCAATTATTTAGGTTTTTTAATGATTTGTTTTCCTCTGATGTCAAAGGAGCTATTTAAGAAATAATTTTTTTAAATGTCTGTACTAATTCAGTAATAAAGAACTCAATTTTTAGATTCTAACAGGTGAAGATTGGAATGCTGTTATGTATGATGGCATTATGGCATATGGAGGCCCATCCTCATCAGGAATGGTAGTCTGTATATACTTCATCATCCTCTTCATCTGTGGTAACTGTATCCTTTCATTTTAAAACTGCATCCATTCTTCCAAGTCACAGAATGGACATTGAAAGGGCATGAATATATTTATTCCATGTTCTAACTCCAGATAAGTCTCCTCATCCTCCATTCTCAAATTAATACGTAGATGCATTCTTGTCTTCTTATCAGTCATTTATAATTCAAATCCTGGTTAAAGTACTTAACAATTATAGAGCAAGATTTAGAAGATGAAGTATGGAATTAAAGTGGAAAGTTTTTAAAAAACTGTGCTGTGTTCCAGATTGCCCGACAGCTGTTTTTTCTTACAATACTCAGTGACTTCCCTTCTTGTGAGTTGCAGATCCAGGAACAAGAAACACATTGCATCCTATAGCCCCTGAGCATGCCTAATCCTCATTGAGCTTTTCCCACTTTTCACATTTCATAGTTTTTTCTGCAATGTGAAAGAAGGGCGTGAATATTGCTGCGTTGACTACATAGTGGCCATAACTCAGGCCTAACAAAGCATCTTATTAGGGGGGAGAGAGAGAGGGAGGGAGTGTGGGAGGGAGGGATGATAGATGATAGGTAGATAGATGATAGGTAGGTAGGTAGGTAGGTAGGTAGGTAGGTAGGTAGATAGACTGACTGACTGACTGACTGACTGACTGACTGACTGACTGACTGACAACTCTGCCTCATGAGCCTGT